GAACGTCGCCTTGCCCTTGTGGGCCATACACCATGCCTAGAAGTCCGAGCAAGCCTGTCCACTATGTGACGTCGACTGCAAGAAAGACAGCACGATGATTAGAAATCAAGCATAACTGAGCGTCACAATAGATAAATGAATTCACGTACCCATGCTTGTTTGTATCCGGCGAGGCTGCGGCTGCCTTGATGGTGTGCGGGACCTTGCATTTGCAAACGACGCTCCCGGGCATCCCTGTGCATGTTGAGGTACTCCTCCGTGAACCACCTCTCCACCATCATCGCCCAGCACTCGGGATACGTTTGGCACCGCCAGGGAATCACCTACACGTTATCAAGTATTGGACATATAAGAAGATCAATTAAACCAACTTAATCTCAAAATGAATCAATATTGATGTTCTTCATTTACCTCACGGTACTGCTCCTGGGTCAGCTGCATCTCCCTTGCGTCTTTCTTGGTTTTCCTCTCTCCAAGCTTCGACCCATAGTAGGTTACGATGGCCTGGACGCGCGCCTCATGATGCATGTCGGTGACGAGTTTTTTACATGCTTTAGTAGTCACCTGCTCCGCCTTGGCCTCAAATCCCTCATCGCATCTGTAATAAGTCTGCATACAAAAGCGATGTATCCATTCATTATTTCAAGAAAAGTCCAATGAATGCGATGTATTGAGCAATGTTGTGCGAGGGAGACTTACCCAAAACTCTGCCTTCACCCGCGCCGCCTTGTTGGGGTACTCCGCATCGCTGGCGACGGCGTAGTGGTCAAACGAGTAGGCCGGCTCCGTCTTCGATGCGTACGTGACAATGCTGAGGAAGTGTTGCCTGCACAGAAGACCCAGGATGTCGTTGACTAGCCGTACACTACCACGATCCGATACAACCATCCAGTTCCTACACAAGTGATTCAGAAAAATTAATAGATTTTTTCATCATATCATATGAAGTAGTGGTGATAACATATAAAGTTACTTACTTTTGCCCTTCGGGGTGAATCACTGGGCGTTGGTGAGGAAGCGGAGGCGTTGGTAGGCTTGCGGGACCTAGCAAGTAGACACTCGAAGAGTCGGAGGAAGCGAAACCCGTGCCTACCGCCTCCAACTCGTCGTCCTCGTGCGGCCCCTCCTCCTCGTCCGTCCGCCGAACCACCTCATCCTCCGACTTGTCCATGGGCGCCACCTCCTCCTCCGGCTCCTCACGCGGCGTGGGAGGAGACGGGCCCCTCCTGCGTCCGGTGGTTCTACTACTACCACTATTGCTACAACCACTACCACTAGTTCTACTACTACTACTACTACCACTAATTCTACTACTACTACCATTAATTATACAACTACTACCACTACTTCTAATACTACTACTACCACTAGCACCACTAGTACAACTAATACTACTGCAACTATCACTACCACGACAACAACAAAAGAGAAGGCATACCTGACGGGCACCGGGGATAGGGTCGGGCGGCGTCGAGGTCGCCGGCGTCAGGAAAGGGGTCGGGCATGGGCGGTGTTGGGGCGGGCGGTCCACGGGGCACGGCCGAGGGCAGGGCGCTGATGCTTGGATGCATGTGCTGGCGGTCGGGGCGATCTGGGCGGTACGGCCCAAGGCAGGCGCGGCAAAAGGTGGCAAGGGCATGGCCGTGTCGCTGAATGGCAAGGAAGGGCGGCACGGTTAGGGGCGGCGGGCGGTGTATGCTGGCATTGGAACGGTGGCGCGTGCGTGTGTGCAGGGTGTGTGGCCAGCCCAGGGGTTAAATCCATACTTTGCCGAGTGCCCCCAATCTGGCACTCGGCAAAGATTTAATTTTTTTTTAAAAAAAAATCTTTGCCGAGTGTCCCAGATCTGGCACGAACGTGGAGATGTCCTAGTTTGTAAGCATCGTACGTGATAACATGCACGAAATCTTCTTTAATTTTTATCATAGCCTCCACGTACGATATCACGACATCTCAACAAGTTTCATGATTTTCGGATTTCGTTTGTTTTTTATAGAATTTAAAAACACTTCGCACGCAAGTTCGCTGTCATGTTTCGTGAGCAAGATGTCCGAAATTTTGGGTCCGTTCCTGGATATGGCCACACACTACACTCAGTAACATGACTATTATTTTTGAATCATTAAATTCCATTATTCGTAACACGTGCAGTTCAAATTCATATTTTAAAAAAAATCGAGTAAACGAAATAAAGTAACTAAATATATCAAAATGCCATAAAAATGCCTAAATTCTAACTAGGAGTTCCTGGTACCTTAAAAGGGCTGCACAAAAAATTGGGAGGAAAAAAAATCTTTGCCGAGTGCCGGGGCATGGCACTCGGCAAAGGGGTCCCGAGGATCAGGCACTCGCCAAAGAGGTTTCTGAAATTTTTTTAGAAATTTCCTCTTTGCCGAGTGCCTCCACTAAGGGCACTCGGCAAAGAAATTTTAAAAAAAAATCTTTGTCGAGTGCCAGATCTGGGACACTCAGCAAAGAAATTTAAAAAAAAAATAAATCTTTGCCAAGTGCCAGATCGGCGCACTCGGCAAAGTATTTTCCAAAAAAAAATCTTTACCGAGTGCCAGATCTAGGACATTCGGCAAAGATTTTTTTTTAAAAAAAAAACCTTCTTTGCCGAGTGCGTAACAGTATGCACTCGGCAAAGAAGGACGTGGCCGAACACCGTTACGCAGGCAACCTACACCGAGGGCCATGATTTTGCCGAGCGCCTGACACTAGGCAAAGAAGTCCTTTGCCGAGAGCCTTTTTTTCGTGAAATCACATGTGGAGATGTCCTGGTTTGTAAGCATCGTACGTGACAACGTGCACGAAATCTTCTCAAATTTTTATCATAGCCTCCACAAACGATATCATGATATCTCAACAAGTTTCATGATTTTCGGACTTCGTTTGTTTTTTATAGAATTTAAAAACACTTCACACGCAAGTTCGCGGTCATGTTTCGTGAGTAAGATGTCTGAAATTTCGGGCCCGTTCCTGGATACGGCCACACACTACACTCAGTAACATGACTATCATTTTTTAAATCATTAAATTCCATTGTTCGTACCACGTACAGTTCAAATTTATATTTTTCGAAAAAATTCAAGTAAACGAAATAAAGTAACTAAAAATATCAAAATGCCACAAAAAATCCCCAAATTCTAACTAGGAGTTCCTGGTACCTTAAAAGGGCTGCACAAAAAAATTGGAGGAAAAAAAAATCTTTGCCGAGTGCCAGGGCATGGCACTCGGCAAAGGGGTTTTTTGCCGAGTGCCGAGGATCAGGCACTCGGCAAAGAGGTTTCTGAAATTTTTTTTAGAAATTTCCTCTTTGCTGAGTGCCTCCACTAAGGGCACTTGGCAAAGAAAATTCAAAAAAAAAATCTTTGCCGAGTGTCAGATCTGGGACACTCGGCAAAGAAATTTTTAAAAAAAATTAAATCTTTACCGAGTGCCAGATCGGGGGCACTCGGCAAAGTATTTTCCAAAACAAAATCTTTACCGAGTGTCAGATCTGGAACACTCGGCAAAGAATTTTTTTTTAAAACCTTCTTTGCCTGTTGCGTAACACCATGCACTCGGCAGAGAAGGACGTGGCCGAACACCGTTACGCAGGCAACCTATGTCGAGTGCCGTGATTTTGCCGAGCACCTGGCACTCGGCAAAGATGTCCTTTGCCGAGAGCCTTTTTTTGCCGAGCGCCCGGCACTCGGCAAAGAGATCTTTGCCGAGTGCCCGATTTTTGACACTCGGCAAAGCAGTTTGCACTCGGCAAAGATCCCGTTTCCGGTAGTGATTGTTAAGTTTCAAGTTATCACATGCATGTTTGGTTTGTTACACAATATTATCAAAGTTTGCCGAGAAAAACCAACACCTGAATTCCTTTTTAGAAAAAAACCGACACTACAACTTAATCATAACTAAGGAAATCTTGCCGCAAACTCTAGTTGGCATATGGGATGTATATATGGGAAATAGTTTAGAAAAACTAGTGTGGCTACAACCAAACACTTACTAAAACATGCCTGAGATGTTATACAAAATTGTGGTTAATCTTGTCATGCAACCAAATAGGCTGACATCTTGAAACTCCTTTCGGAGTGGAGGAACTCCTAGATGCTGCCACACACACACTGTGAACTGTGATTCTAAGCAACAGGTTCAGGCAAGTAATACTAATGGTAGTATAATAACACACAGCTAGCCTATATACATGGCATGCTCTGCATTATTGCTTGCACAAATGAGTAACATTCCGATAACGAACCGCGACGACTTATTAATCCGGCCTCTGCTCCAGCAATGTGATGATGTTTTTAAAACAAGCATATCCATCTCCACTTATAGAATTTCATCTAGTTATTTCACTTTTTTCTGAGCGAAAATGTCAGAGCAAACTGTGAGTGGTTCTTGTTTGATTATTAAAAATTATAATCTGTTCACTTTCCTTTTTTTTGAAAGTTATCTGTTCACTTTCCTTAATGCAATGATATGCAACTAGTTGCATATTCAAGAAAAAAAAGATTCGGATTTTAGGGAATAAACCCTCATCCACTATTTAATCCATGGCCCAACAAGCCCAACCAGATGATATCGACACAACCAAGCAACTAGCCAACTAGTTTCTGTCGGCAGAAAATATCTCCATTTCGAGATTAAGGGAAATCAACAAGAATTAACAACTACCTGCCAGACATTGTTAGGACGTGTCCAGCATATTAGCCATGAGTTACCAGAGATGTCTCTCCCAGCCCTTCTATAAATACTTTTCCATTGCTGTGTTGTTGGGAACATAGTGCAAGTGCAACTGCAAGCAAGCTCTACTACTATTCTTTTGTACCGAAACACCTGAACGTGATTAGCTAATTAAGAAGCGTCAACGATTGCTGACGAGTACGGCCGCAGCGGCTACGGCAGGTCCGGCGCCGGCGACGACTACGACAGCGGCTACAACAGCAAGTCCAGAACTGATGACTACGGCCGTGGCGAAGGTAGCAAGTCCGGCGGCGACGACTATGGCCGCAGCGGTGGCGATGAGTACGGCCGTGGCAACGGGGGCGGTGGGTACAAAGTCCGGCAAGGACGACTACGACGGTGGGTACAACGAATCGGGCACCAACGACGACGAATACGGCCGCCGTGGCACCGGCGGCGGGTACAACTGCAAGTCCTCTGGCGACGACGCCTACACCGGCGGTGGCGGCGGGTACAACAGCAAGTCTGGTGGAGAGGACGACGGCGAGTATGGTTCCTCCCCGGACGACTCGGAGAAGTACAGGAAGGAGGAGAAGTACAACAAGTGGGTTTTGTGTCCACAAAAAAGTTTCTAATAACCATGTAATGAACTACAATTAGGGTCTGTTTGGCACAGCTCAACTTCACTAGTAAAGCTGTTTTTTTTGGAAAACAGCTTCATGAGTAACTTTCTAGGTGAAGCTGAGCTGTTATGAAAAAATTGTTTGGCAAAACAGCTTCACCAACAACTTCATACATGGATGGGAGAGAAAAATGAGGGAGAGAACTAGGATAATCTACTTTTTTCCAGCTTCATCCCAACTCATATCTTTGTGAGAGGGAGAGAAAAACACTTCATGAGTGAAGCTGTTTTTGAAATAAGTGTTTGACAAATAAGCTGTTGTGAGCTGTGCCAAACATGCCAACTCGAGCACAACTATGTGTCCACCTATCGCCTAAGACACCGATTCTAAGAAGTGCCGGATCAACCTAAAGGCCACCACCCTTCTTCCTCGTCGAAGCCACTAACGAATCTCGTCAACACACCACGATCTACTTCACCGTTGGTGGGCTATCCACTTAATGACCACGGTTAGTCCTTTAATCTATATTAGATTGTTTAGTGTTTGCATAATTAGATCAACGATCGCATAATTAGATCAACGATCCTGTGATTAAAGACCCTGTTTCTCTAATAAGATGTTGATATATTTTTCTATAGTCCACTCCTCATTGTTAAGTTTCAAGTTGTCACATGCATGTTTGGTTTGCTACACAATATTATCAAAGTTTGCCAAGAAAAACCAACACCTGAATTCCTTTTTAGAAAAAACCGACACTACAACTGTCGAGTTCATAAACCTGGGGTCCCTCATGGAGCGGCTTCCCAGCTAAGGCTCGACCCAATAGACGATGTTGCGAACGACACGCAACTCCTGGGCCGGCCCAAATACCTAAAACGACAGGCTAGAAGGGCGATCCAATCTCCGACCGAAAGGCCTCGCTAAGGAGAAACAGCGCTCGCTTCCGACTTCGGCTCGCCTCTCTGACCGGAAGGCCTGGCCAAGGAGGAACAGCACTCGCTTCCGACTCCGGGCCGCCTCTCCGACTGAAAGGCCTGGCCAAACACCGCTTCCAACTCCAACCCGCGTCTCCGACCGGGGATACACCGAACTCTCTGCTTATAACTCTTCTCTCCGACTAGCATAATGAGCCGATTGGGACCAACCGACCGGGATGCCCATTCGATGAGGACCCAGAAAATAGACGGAGAAAAAAGGGGGGCACTCAAGTCAACTGCAATACCGAGGACCGTACCCTGTACATCTGCAGGACAGTACCAACAGGGCATGTCAGAAGGGTACCCTACAACCTTTCTGGAATGTCAGAACCCAAACAGTGTTGTGGGTGCCGACATTTGCCCTACAGTGTTGTCTCTGACCGGAAGGCCTGGCCAAGGAGGAACAGCACTCGCTTCCGACTCCGGGCCGCCTCTCCGACCGAAAGGCCTGGCCAAACACCGCTTCCAACTCCAACCCGCGTCTCCGACCGGGGATACACCGAACCTCTGCTTACAACTCTTCTCCGACTAGCACAGTCGGAGCCGACGGGGACCAACCGACCGGGGATGCCCGCTCGATGAGGACCAGAAAACAGACGGAGAAAGTAAGGCAGGGCACTCAAGTCAACTGCAATACCGAGGACCGTACCCTGTACATCTGCAGGACAGTACCAACAGGGCATGTCAGAAGGGTACCCTACAACCTTTCTAGAATGTCAGAACCCAAACAGTGTTGTGGGTGCCGACATTTTCCCTACAGTGTTGTGGGCTCCATCAACTTCCACACCAGATAAACACGGTCAGGCTCCCCCCACATGCCTCTAGGCATCAACAGTGTTGTGGGCGCCGGCATTTACCATACCAGGCGAACATGGTAAAACCCTCTACATGCCTCTGGATATCAACAGCATGGCAGACACCGACGTCTGCCATACCAGAAGAAGACGACGCAACCTCCCACATACATCTGACATTAACAGTGTTATGAGCGCCTACAATCATCTTGTACCCGATGGCGTGGGCAACAAGACTTAGCATACGTACACTCTCCCTCTCTCACTTGTAAGGTCATCCCCTTCATCTATAAAAGAGGATGCGCTCTCCCAACAAAAGGAGGCTCAGTTCACTTAGATCGATTCAGCACACAACAACAGAACCACCAGGTTCAAACCTCGAGCATATGCTTGAATATTCAGCGCACGCAGGAGCTCTCGTCACTCTCGGTCCTTCAGACCGGAGTCTAACTAGGCCTCTTACACCCTCCATCTTACTCCCTTCCGTTTGTAACCCCACATCAAACTTCGAGTACCTGGGCTTAGGAATAAAGTCACCGACCGACTCAAACTGGACGTAGGGCACGTTGCCTAAACTAGTATAAACCCTGTGTCATTAAGTGCTAGGCCACATCCGATCACAACGTACGGCAAAACTACAAATATTTACGTGTTGGTCACTTTCTGCACCGACAGTTGGTGCCGTCCGTGGGGAAGATGTTGTATGTTCACACTTTTTGGTCATCGGATGGCCCACTTTTCTGCCACCTCCGCCATGGCGGGCTCAAGCGATACGACTCACTTCGGCTCACTGGAGTTTCCCGCACTCCCACCTATTGGAATGTGGGTTCCACCCATCTTCGAGCCGTCCCAGGCCTTCCTCTTAGGAAGCTTGGACTTCATTGCCGACCGGCTCAGCGTACTACACCTCTGCCTTGAGGTACTTGTTTTGACACCCATCGGAGGGGCACCCTCCAACGGCTCTGGGACACCCGATGACTTCAACAATGAGGCGCCTGCGCTTCATTCTGAAAATACGCTCTGCTCAAACCCCACTGTGAGTAATGTACGCTTTGTTATTTACTATCTTTCACCGATTTTCTAGAGGGACGCCGTTGTCCCTGCCGCGACCGCCATGCGACCGGTTCCCCTACGGCCTCGCGTCCCCCACGGACGCGTACGCCTGAGGGCTCCGAAGGATGCTAGCGCCGCCCCCTCTCACATCTGAATTCATGGGGATGGCGAGCTACGCTCCCACGTATTTCCACGACCTCATGGATAACGATGTGGAGAGCGACGGCTCTAGCGTTGGCGACATCGAGGCACCTAGCCACCCTCTATCCTAGGAGTACGCTATAGCGGATGCCCCAGGACAGCCGCTAGTGGTGGCGGAGTCTCTATAGACCCACACCCCTCTGGACCCTCACGTGGATGCCCTAAAGTGTGCGTAGGCGCATGGCGAGGAACTACGACAAAGGCGACAGAACCAGCCACCACCTGCGCCAGCGCGCTCGGCGCACCACGATGCACCCCATGCGCGTAACCCGGCGAGCGGCGCCCGGGGTCACGCCCGTTAGGTCCATTGCGACATCATGGACAAGGAAAACGATCCCCCATAGTTCGCTCGGGCTAGCCAGAACATTGCCGCTGCGGCAATGCTTCTGCGTGGCGTTCTCGAGCCCGTCGACCCCAGGAGCAGGTGGTCCACCGGAACATCCAGGTGCTGGTGGAAGCCACCACCATTCAACAGGAGGAAGGCTCCACATCGTGACTCCGACTCGCGGCCTGTCTCCCCACCAGGGGAGTGGGGACGCACCAGACGGATCGCTCCATCCGTTCACCGCTATAGCCGCCATGCGCGGCACAAGAGGCTGCAGCTGCGCCGTGGTCCGGCCCGACGCCTGCTCCACACCGACCACCGGTATGCGAATGGCTCGATCCAAACCAAGACGCTCGCAGCATCATCAGCAACCGGCATTAGGCTCGGCGTGATGATGACATCCATCGGGTGGCGGTGAGGGTAGGCGACATAGGCCCCGGCCGGACCATCGAGGGTAGCGGTGAAACATGCTCCAGGCATGGTCACCGGCCAGACGACTGGAGTCCTAGCCCGGATGGCCAGGGACCATAGGCCTTTGGCTGACGTATCCAGAGAGTGTTGTTCCAATAGCACTTCTGACCACCCACCAACATCGCTAGGTACCCCGGGGAGACGAAGCCCGATATATGGCTCGAAGATTTCCAGCTTGCCTACCGAGCCAGAGGGGTGGACGATGACCATTTCATCATTCAATATCTCCCCATCTGCGTGGGGGAACATGTTCGGGCATGGCTTGAATTCCTCTCGCACGACAGCATCTGAGACTGGGCGGACCTCAAGAGGATCTTTGTTGGAAATTTCTAGGGGACGGATGTCCGCCCTGGTAACTCCTGAGACCTCAAGAGCTGCCAGCAAGAGCCCAGCGAGTCCCTGTGGGATTACATCCGCAGGTTCTCCCAACGCTACAACTCCCTCCCTGATGTTGTCAATGCGGACATCATCAGCGCATTCCTCTTCAGGACAACCTACGAGTCCCTAATCCACAAGCTTGGCTGCCTGAAGCCCCGTACCACCCACAACCTGCTCGACGTCGCCATGAACCACACCTCCGGTGAGGAGGCAGTCGGAGCGGTCTTCATTGGAGGCCAGGACAAGGGCAAGGCCAAGCGCAAGGACCAAGACGAGGACCCCTCCATGTAGAGGGGCAAGAAGAACAAAAAGGATCGGCGTCGACCGGCCAACACCGCGTTGGTCGCCACAGCTAATCACATGGGCAAGCAGCCCTAGCAGGGCCTGCCTGACCACTTCAACAAGCTCATGGATAGCCCATGCACCAACCCCACCTACCCCATCAAACATCTCTACAAGGACTGCGAGCTCCTCAAACATTTCCTACGATAGGTCGACAGGCAAAAAGAAGGAGACGGCAAAGAGGCAGCAGCCAAGAAATGAGGCACGGCGAGCAAGAACGGGGATAGCTTCCCCGACCCTGAGGAATGCATGATGATCTTTGAGGGATCCGACACCATTTGCTCCAAGCGCCAGCACAAGGTACGCTACAGAGAGGCATGCGTGGCCGAGACGGCCATCCCCTCCTTCCTTAGCTGGTCAGAATCTTCAATCACCTTCGATCAGAGGGACCATCCCTCCCACATCGCTAGACTGCGACGCGACCCACTCATCATCGATCCCATTGTCCATCAAAAGCGCCTCACCAAGGTG